GGCATTTCCAATGACCGATTTCTCAGGTCTCCAGAACTTTCTGTCAAGGCACCACCCTTTCAAGGAGCAACTGAGCACCTAACTATTAATCCCATCCAGGGACTTCTGACATTGGTATGGTGGTTGTTTTAGAAACCCATATTGTTTAGACCTGTCTCCAGAAATACTTACAAATGAAACAATATCATGTCTGGAGTTTATTTCAAAATGGCCAGTTTGGGATGGATGAAGGGAATGAAAATGATCATTTCGTTTGGTGTATCCATAATACAAAAGATTATGCCTTCCTTCATCTTGTGTATTGACCTGCCATGTTTATCATGTTGGAGAATTAGGTAGCTGGGTAGCCACATGGGCACCTGAAGTAATCTGTCTTTCCTCCTGTCCTATTAAGATTTCTCTACTTCATAGAAGGAGCACTAGTGGCTGCTAAAGAAAAAATTAGTGGGTTGAGCCCACCAGCTGTTCAGCAGGAGAGAGACATGGCAATCTGCTTCTGTAAAGATTCCATCTCAGAAAGCCTATGGATCTGGAGGAGTGGAATGAACTTGAGGACACAATGGGTTTAGTTAGGCATGGGTTGCTCTGACAGAAATCACTTCATCTCCACTGGATTTCTGAGTTGCCCTGGCCTGTGTTTTGCCCTTACACCATCAGTACCTCCTTTCTCATCAGACTCTCCCAGCCAATCCGAGATCAGCACATCCACTGCTTCCTGTACTCTTCTCTTACCTGTCACTTCACACACTCACAATAGGATTCAACCAGGGGACCTTGTTAGCTGTCTTAAATATGGGGCAAATGCATTCTTCTTCACAATAACCCATATCTCTCAATCTAGACCCCAAGGGTGTACAGAATGGTTTATTGTTGAGGAAAAGGAAGCTGACGAGGAGAGAAGTTTTAGCAGGATGCATCTCAGAATCCTGGACTTCATCCTGGACTCATCAATCTTCAGTGAGAACAGGACACGTCCTAGGCCAGGAAATTCCCTGGGTTCCATCCAAAAGGGAGAGGACTGCAGTCAGCGAGGTGAAAGAGAATGTGTATGAACTATGGGCTGTGAATCTGATGGTCCTTCACCCAATACTCAATAAAACATTTCAAAAGGCCAGCATTCAAAAGTCAGAAGATCTAAGTGTGAATGCTTGTTGTGTTGTTGTTAAATGCCATCGATTCAGTTCCAACCCATAGCGACCCTGTATAGGGTTTCTGAGGAATGACTGATGAGATTGAATCGCCAACCTTGCAGTTCAAACGGCTTTGCAATCTGGTGCGTTAACCCACAGTGCCACACAATGGTAAGAATGATTAATATGCAAGATTGCTAAGGAAAGGTTGCCGGTTCAAGACCACTCAGAAGCATCTTGGAAAATGGGCTTGGCATTGTACTTCTGAACAGTTAGCATCAAAAACCCTTCAGATGATAATGCTCAGATTTGCACCTGATCTTGGAGAAGGCTCAGGACTGGGCATGGGCTATAGGATTGGGGCTGACTCAATGACAAGTAGTAACAAGAGCAAACTGGGGGGCGGGGGGATCTGTCTACTCCCCAGCCTTCTCTGCATCCCTGTGAAGCCCACGAGGGAGTGATGTATGAATCTCACAGCCCACCCCCCACAGCCACCTCTGTGTCCCTGTGCAGCCCAGAAAGACGAGATACATGAATCTTACTATTCAAGGTGATGTCTGGTCTTCCCACACAGAAATACATGCATCTCATAATGGCTTTGGAAGAGAAAATAAATGCTAGGGACTATCTACATTTCAGCCTAACAAGACACATGGCTGCTTACCTGCCCACCCCCTTCACACAGGCGGATCAATGTCTGTACCCTAATGACATGTGGCACACACCCAGTGCCATTTACAGACCCACAGACCTCTCTGCGGAACCACCCGGCCCACAAAGATTATGAATTATGCACACAGAACAACTTACAAGGGAAGTGCCCATGAATAATGTGTCTGCCACCCACATCCACAGCCACAAAGAGACAATGCCTCCCTCCCACAGCTGATGGCGTCTCCCAGAAACGGAACTGAAAGCTGTGCTGACGTTGGAGTCCAGAGAATCCCACTGTCCTCTAGGGACATGTGAACGCTGTCGCGTTAGAGCAGCTTTGATTTGGAGCCAGTATCCAGTATGGTATTCTTTTCTAGTGTTTTCAAAGAAACACTCTCACTGCCTGAATACGTATGTTTTCTGGGGCTCCCAGAAATGATGTGGAGAGAAACCAGATGCCCATAGAAAGCAGCTATAGCTTTGGAAGAGAACAGCATAGAAAGGCTGATTCTCCATGAATGCTTGCTGACCAGGGATGTCAGCTTTCTGATTGTAAAGAAAATGTTTCCTTCTTCTTCTCCCCAAGTCAGCTCCATCCACGTGTGGGGTTGGGGTTTGGCTGGGGTACAGCCTCTGGACTCAGTACTGTGCATGATGACTGCCATATCTATTGTTTGATGATGAGGGGCTTCTTCATCCACGCCATATGAGGAGCTGAACCTAAGGGGGCAGGCTCTCAGAGTCACATGTGGGTGTAAGGATGTGGTTTCTTGTGTCCCTCCTGCCTTGAAATCTCTCTTGTGGACGTTGCCAACATCCCAGCTCTGTGCAGGGGTGAGCTGGGTGGTGCTGGAATGGCATTGGGCAGAGCACGGGCATGACTCCAAGACACACTTCTTGATGTTTCCACATGGTCGGGTCATCATTGAAAGCTGTGGTCCCCGCCTTCCATCCTCAAGAAAACTTTTCACTCTACCTGAAGATGTTACTCTATGAAGTCACCTTCATCACTACAGACTGAGACCAGCAAACCACACAGGACCTGGACACAATGCCAAATGGCACAGACATGTAAATATGCTTCCAAAGCCGTGAGGCCAATGGTAGGTAACTAAAAAGAGTAATTTTCCTCTCTGATACCATGGACAACCATTCATCCACCAAGAATCCCCAGGGTCACCCACAAGCAGAAGTGGGCAACCAATGAAGGGAAAAGAAGGTGGGCCCTGATCAGTAGTGTTGTCTCAATGTGCTTTGCTGATAATTTCACGCTGATTTTTAAACCAAATGACACACTTCGGTTGAATCTCTGAAATAATTCAATGTGATGGTTAGAAAGAAATCTGAAGTTCTTAAAATAGTCAGCACATTGCAAAACCAGGTCTGAACTATTAACAAGGACTTCAAATCCGAAACTGGCAGAAACTCCCGGCAACATGCAAAATGTGGGAGACGGAACAATTAATCCATGTCCTGGTCCCAGAGAAAGTGTAACATCATGCGTTACTAACAACTCCCATTAAATAGTAAATAACAAGCTGTTTCAAATGGCAGTTACCAAGGTAGTTGAAAATATTTTAGGAATATGAAAACTTGTCACTGTGACTTATTTCTCCTCCCAGGCAATTTTAGGGGGAAAAAATCGTTGAGGCTTGAATTATTCGCACAATCGATTCAATTCTGCCTGTGTGTTGCCAGGATTCTGAGTGTCCAAAGAATGTATTCCTTGAGCTGGGGTCCCGAGAAAGGCGGGAAACAGACAGCCTAGAGTCCCCGAATGATCCTTCTGTTGCTGGCTTTCCCTCTCATACGTATCCCAGTAGGCTGTTCATGAGTACTACAGGGCAGGGGTATTGTAACTGCTTTTTACGGAGGAAAAAAAAAATACATTATTTATACCAAAAAGACAGACCAGAATGTGACTGATTTCAGCAGGTCCTGCCGAGTCCCCTAGCTCTTACTACGCATGCCAAAGCCCATGATATAAAAATGCATCGCAGCATTTAGGAGGCTGAGGAGAACGTGAACATTTTGACAATAGCCTTCCTAAAGATGGCAAAGGATGCCAAGAAGGCTATGCTGGGTGGCCCAGCCTGAAAGCCTGTGGAGAAAGGTGGCTTCCAAAGTGGCCTTGGGCAGTGCTGGACTTGCTGGACGATAGGGATGCTTTCAAGCAAATGGCACAGTTTTGTGAACGGTTCCTGACAAACACCGGGGACTTGATGGGAAGTACTACATCCTCGTTGTTCCCAGCTGAGTCACCACTGGGCACGTGTTCTCCTCCAAAACCTCCTGGGAGGATGCAGCCACCTACAGTGGAGACCTGAGAGGGCACAGAGCAGGCAAGCAGCAGCCCCGAGTGCCTTTACTTGTCACTCAGGAGCCCAGAGCACCGGAACAATCTGGGAAACACGTCCAGTTGCCAAAACTGGGGTAGCTTCATGCACAGAAACCGCATTTGTTTCTAAGTTAGTTTTCAATTATGGAAGTCATTCAGATAATTAAAGTCTGATTAATGTTTTACTGCCACTCACATGCCAACTGTTCTGAACCCAAGGAGAGTCCCGCAGGCCCTCAAGCCAAGACTGAAACTGGGTGAGATAGGCAGATGTCCCAGTGACATTGGATGCAGCCAAGGTTTGCCTCCTACACAATCCAACATCCATGAAGTGGTGGCTAGCTTTACATTTCTGCCCTGTCTTAGGAACTTCGCCTTTTTGTAAGCTGTTTTTGGTAGGTACCATTGAGTAAGTTCCAACTCATAGGATCCCGATGTACAGTAGAATGAAACCCTGCCCAGTGCGGCATAATCCTCACCCCAGCCACACCTGCTCACCCCTCTGTGCACACCTATGCCGGCCACACCTGCTAACCTGTTTGTCCACTTACCTCGGCCATACTTGCCCCAAGTGAGCATGTTCACCCCACTGTAACCGCCCACAGCCTCTGCAGGGCTAAGCATGGGGTCCGTAGGGCAGGCAGTGGGAAGGGAATCATGCTTCATCGGGTCTGAGGTGCCCTGAGTGCTGGTCACCTGCTTAGAATGGGTACTCGGGGTAGATATTGAGACTGATCAATCAAACCCCTGACTCTGAGCCACCACGTCTGTGCAGTGGTTGAATGAGTTCTTTCGTCAACATCAATGGCCCCAGTGATGAGCGATTGCTTTTCTCCTACCATCAGAAGATGCAATAAGAACGGACATTCACCTACCGGTTCCTCTTTGTTTTCATGTTCTGGTCCTCACTGCCATCATCGGAACTGGACTCCTCATTGTGGTGGGCTGAAAGAAAACCAGGATAGAGCTACTGGAGGCAAGTCACTGAGAATCTCTGTCTTCACGCTGACTTTAGAGGAAAGGAAGAATCTATTTCTCTGAGGGCAGGCATCACATCTGACCATGGGGGTCTGTGGGCAGTGAAGAGGCTAACTTCCAGGCTTAGCCAGATCTAAATCAGAAAGAAGCAGCCTCTCTATAGAAAAACAAGATGGCGCTGTGGGCTGAGAATTGAAAGGATGGCAGTTCAATCCTACCAGCTGCTCTGTAGAAGAAAAATGAGGCTATCTGCCCAGTAAAGAATTACAACCTTGGAAACCTCATGTAAGGTTTCTGTGAGTCAGTGTGGGTTCATTGTCAGTGGGTGTGGTTTTTGATTTGGGAGCCTTTTAGAAGGGCCAGGATGGAGAATTCAAGTTGCTCATTTGCCTAAACTTTTCCCTCCACCCTCAGAACAGCAGCTCCTGGAAAAAGTCTTTCTGTTTTGGGCTCGAACAGTAAAGGTTGGAGGTTTAAATCCACCCAGAGGCACCTTGGAAGAAAGGTCTGCCAATCTATCCTAAGAAACAGAAACTCCATGGAGCTCAGTTCTGCTCTGACACACGTGGGGTCGCCATGCACAGCGCTGACTCCAGCAGTGACATTTAACACTGGCCTTCACACCCCTTGAAGGACATGGACTCCCCCACATTATCAAACGCTCTAAGGAAGAGACTGACAATCATTGGTGCTTCCTGCTGTCCTGCCATTAGCTCCGTCTCAGTGAATGATGGGGTTTCTCCTACCTGTGGTATCTGCTGGCTCCCTAACAGCTGATTTGGAAGATGTAACCCCTAGCTTCCAGCTGGGGGAGTTGGCTCCATAAACATTTAGATGGCACTGCAGGGCTTGGTGTCCATTTCCACTGGTAAGAGGAAAGGGCATGGTTCTGAGCATCATCATTGTTCCTGAACTGACCAGCTGAATGGTTTGTGGACACACCACATATCACACCTCCAGACTACTTCTCACCAATGCACCTGGCTGCCCCAGGAACCTCCTGCAAGCCTGCTGTCTGAAGGCAGAGAGGTCAGGGATGAGTCTACTGAGAATCCTGGAGGGCACCCCAGGTCCACTCACCTGGGTCTCCACCTTCCTCACAGCCACAGTGCCCAGGGAGGCCTGTCCCTCCTCACAGTCCTCTCTCCACACCCTTCTTGCTGACCTGCTCCAAGGTCTGTACACACCACGGCATTGCCCAGGTGGGTGGGCATCTTAAGAGGCTTTTCAAGGGGAAGTTTGTAAGCAGAGGCATCCTCAGTATATGGCTAACTGACTCCAGAATACCTTTCTTTCCTGCCAATCTGTCCCCCAGTCCTCAGCCCTGGCCCTCTCATGGCCTGCTTCCAGCACCTTCATAATCTGTGTTGTTGGAACTCTAGATGCTTTGGGCTGATGTTCTAGAGAAAAGGCTGGTGAGTAACTGAGGTGAAATTGGAAGGGAAATGTTTCCAAGCTGCCCCACCTCCCAGCAACTCTGCTCCATGCCCCACAAACACTGTACCGGGCACATCCAAGCTTAACAGCAGTCACGCCCCATCCCAGCCTCCTGCTTAATGTCAGGGAGCCAAACCTCTGAAGGAACTTCTGCCCCGGTGTCCTTTGAGTGTCTGCACTCTTCGCCAAGGTGCACATGCTCTCTAGTGTGGTAAGAGGGTATATTCCAGGTAGCTTTGATTCTGTTTGCTGTTTACGACACAGGTGGGAGGTAGCGGGGTGTGGCAGAGACCATAGGCCATGCCTGGAGGTGGGGAGTTTTTCCTTAAGCCCACAGATTAACCCTACTGCAAGAAGACCATGGGAAAACCCACAAAATCCAACTTAAATTAAGCCATGCAATTACAGGAGTCCTGAATGGTGCTATAGGCTAAGAGCTGCTCCTCCAAAGCCTGTGCAGGGTCACTATGTGTCTGAATGGACTGGAAGGCACCTAACATCAAAACAACATGCAATTATGGGTATATTCTTTAAATAAAAGAAATCCACCATGCAGCTATTCTCTTGTTGCAGTTACCTGTATGTGTGTTTTATGATCTCAGTGTGGGCAAAGCTTTCCTAATCAAGATGAAAAGTTTAGAGACCATAAAGGAAATGTTTGTGGATTTCATTGTCTTTAGAAACACAAATCCAGGTTGTTCTATGACAGTAGAAACCAACTCAAAAGGCCAGAAAAAAAAGATAAATAAATAAACAGATGAAATCACACTAGAGCTGGAATGCTTATCTCTTTGATTTGCAAATGAAAAAGAGGTAAAAAAAAAAAAAAAGAGCTCACAGGAAAACAAAACAAAGCAAATGGCCCTTGTTGTTGTTGTTGTAGTCTTTGTTGTTAAGTACCCTGGAGTCTGTTTGAGTCTGTTTGACCCATAGTGACCCTGTACAAAGATTCTGAGGCTGTAAATCTTTTAGAGAGCAGAAAGCCTCATCTTTTTCTCACGGAACAGCTGGTAGTTTTGAAATGCCAACCTTGAGGTTAGCAGCCCAACTCATAACCACTATACTACCAGAGCCCTTAGACATGTGAAAAGGTCTTCATTTTCACTCAAAATGCCAATTGGGACAAAGAATGGCTTTGAGAATGAAGACTAGATGATCAGAGGTTCTGAAGAGAATCTTGGGATCTATTAGGGGGAGTGTGAACTGGTCAGTCTCTGGGAGCAGGACTCACCAACATCAGTCAAAAGTCAAAATGCACATACTATCTGGCCCAGCCAATAAGAACTTACAAAGTAGAGGGAGGAAGGGAGAGAAGAGGGGTCAGAGGGTGGGAGGGAAGAGGGGCAAAAGAAGGGAGAGAGGAGGGGACAGAGGGAGGGAGAGAGAGGAGGGGGCAGAGGGAAGAAGAGAGGAAGGGACAGAGGGAGGGAGAGAGGAGGGGACAGAGGGTGAGAGGGAGGAGGGGACAGAGAGAAGGAAGAAGTGACAGAGGGAGGGAAAGTGGAGACAGAGGGAGGGAGAGAGAGCAGGGGACAGAGGGTAGGGGGGAGGAGGGGACAGAGGGAGGGAGAGAGAGGAGGGGACAGAGGGAGGGAGGGAGGAGGGGACAGAGGGAGGGAGAGAGGAGACAGAAGGAAGGAGGGAGAGAGGAGGGGATAGAGGAGAGAAGGAGGGAGACAGAGAAAGCTTATAGATCATGAGAGGGAGGGATGGAGACAGACAGACAGATAGACAGAGACACATAGTGAGAGAGAAGGGACTGTGAAGAGCAGAGAGGGAGGGAACTCTGGGCCTTTGAAGATGGAGACATGCCCAAGATGTATCCTGAGCAAAGTGCAGAGTGGAAGGTATGGCTGTTTGTCCAGCATGAGTTAGGCCCCCTGAGGCCTGGGTCTCTCTTACCCTGGCTTCCCCTGAAAGTGGGGAGGACATCTCTATTCCAGCAAGGATGATAACATTGAGAAAAACAACCTGGAGAGAGAGAAGGCTATCAGAACCTGAAATGCTAATAGAAGAAGCTGGCCACAGGCAGAGGACCCATGAAGATAGTGCCTGAAGCTGACCACTGCGGAAGGCGTTCCATTTCCAAGAAGTCTGTGCCTCTTTACTAAAAAACCATGAATATTCAACATACCACACCTCCTAATTAATATGTATCATCCCACACTGGAGGAAGAGACCCCATACCTTTATAAGCCAGTGCACCCCAACCCCAAAGGGTCTTCTCCACTAGCGGAGAAATACCCGGTTCTCTCTCTGAAGCGTACTTTCACTTTGCAATAGAGATTCCATGTGACTGTTTATTGTTGTGTGTGACTGAGAAGTGGAGACTTGGTGGAACTAATTCTTTAGATCCCCAAGAGTGAGAGGGACCAGGGAAATACATGATATGCTGGATCCCTAAAATGCTCCCTACAGTGAAATACAACACAACCATGAACACATTTAAGAATTAATGCGTTTCATGTATTTGCCAGCAAGAGCACATGTATATTTAGAGCAAAGCATGGGGTTTGAGAAGTCAGGTCGCAGTGCTGAAAGCTCTCCTTCCTGGTGAGGACATTCTACCTGTGGGTCGGCCCACTCTGGAACCATCAGGCCCATCACTGCTTAAAATGTACTGACCAGTGATGGGAGTGGGCTTTGGGGGCAGCAGGTTTGCATTTAGGGAGAAGTGTGAAGGGAGGTGTCCACCTGTATCTCAGGTGGATTACTTGGGGACGTGGTGGGGGCAATTCCTCAGGGACTCAGCAATAAGAGCCCATAGGCAGGAGTAGGTCTGGAGCCAGCACACTCCTTCGGGGCAGGTGTTCATCACCTAATCATGGGCCTCGCCTGAGCACCAGGCCCTCTGTGACATCTCCACCTGCTGCCTCTCCCTTTGGCAGAGACCCTGGGACATGGGGAGGGACTGGCTGCAGGGGTCAGAGAGCCGGCGGGGAAATCATTCCAACCGGTCACCTTTGGATGGACTCTGACACCAGGAAACCCCATATGCAGAATGTACGTGTAGGAGTTTTCAGCAGCAGATGTTCACGTCTATCTTCCAACATGGCTGGGGTGGACTTGAACCTCTACCCTTTCAGTAAGCAGCTGAGAGTTAAATATTCATACCACCCAGAGCGGGGTGTTTCACCAGGTGTCCCCATGCACACAGCTCTTGACCAAACAGTTCAGAGACAGTTGCCCTTCCCTGGGTCACACCTGTGTTTGCCCTGCGCAATCTTACGACCGATGTGATGAAAGGAATTTCATGATTGGTTTGCATTTGTCTCCATCATAAATGAGTAAATGTGAGCACAGTCATCAAGCTGAGTCAGGTTCCTGCTGTCTCTGTTACAGGTGGAGGGATGAGAGGTTTCAGGGCAAGGCCACCTGCACATGACAATCACTGTGTCAGTACACTTGCACGCACCCTCCACCCTCTGAGTGTAGCCTGGTGGGGTTGACTCCCTGGGATCTGTAGTCAGGCCTACCCAGGTTCAAATCCTGTACCCGCAGCTAAGAGACATGAGCCACTGGGTAAGTTT